GAGAATCACTTCAACCTGGGAGGCGGAGGTTGCAGTGAGCTGAGATTGTGCCATTGCACTCCAGCCTGGGCAACAAGAGTGAAACTCCATTTCAAAAAAAAAAGTCTTGCTATATGATGACACTGGTTTCTTGACATAGAATTTGAAAATATTTTCAAATTGGGGACTTCCTTGTTTAAAATGTAAAGTTTATAAATGAATTTAGTTACAGTGCTTTAATTTTGATAGTATTCAGTGTTGTATAATATTAATGAGTTAAGTTAAACCCTGACAAGTGGTTCCCTTAGGCACTTTAGAGAGTACTTTTGGCATTAATGCGTAATGGCATCAGAAATCCTCTGGGTCTGTCATCCTCAGTGGGATCTGGAACTGTTCCCTAAGGAGCAAGTGGGAACTTGTGGGACATTTTTAGTTTATCCCGGTGGCTTGGGAGAAAGGGTACCATAGGCACTAAATGGGTTAAGGCCAAAGATGCTGAATGTCATGAAGTATGCATCCACATTACTTTGTTGTGGTTAGAAACATAAGAAATAAAACACCTTTGTATAATTATAAACATAGAACCTAACTATGTTTAGGTTGATATCATCAGGTTTAGTTGATATCTATTTCAGATATCATTGGTTGGGCACAGTGGCTCACACCTGTAATCCCAGCACATTGGGAGGCCAGTGTGGGTGGATCACTTGAGCCCAGGAGTTCAAGACCAGCCTGGCCAACATGAGAAAACCCCATTTCTATTAAAATATAAAAATTAGCCAGGTGTGGTGGCATGCGCCTGCAGTCCCAGCTATTTGGGAGGTTAAGGTGTTGCTTGAACTCAGGGGCAGAAGTTGCAGTGAGCCAAGATCACACCACTGCCTGGGCACTCCAGCATGGGGGACAGAACAAGACCTTGTCTCAACAACAACAAAAAAAGATGCCATCGTGAAGTACTTTTTAACAGTTTCAGTAAGCACCAAGTTTTCTGGGAATGCCATGAAATTGTAAATTGAGTGAAGAATGAAATTTGCTTGGGACTTTATGCTTTACTTTCACAGATGGTATTAACTTTACCACCTATCAATATTTTGCCCTTAATTGTTCTTTTTTTTTTTTTTTTTTTTTTTTTAAGACAGAGTTTTGTTGCCCAGGCTAAAGTGCAATGGCATGATCTCGGCTCACCACGACCCCCAACTCCCGCTCCCGGGTTCAAACAATTCCCCTGCCTCAGCATCCTGAGTAGCTGAGATTACAGGCATGTGCCACCACGCCCAGCTATTTGTTGTATTATTAGTATAGACAGGGTTTCTCCATGTTGGTTAGGCTGGTCTCGAACTCCCAGCCTTACGTAATCCACCTGCCTCTGCCTCCCAAAGTGCTGGGATTACAGGTGTGAGCTACTGCACCAATTGTTCTTTTATATTCTATTTAGAAGCTCAAATCCTTTAAGACAATGGTTAGAATATATTACAAGGGGTTTTGTGGGTTTTTTGTGTTTTTTTGAGAGGGAGTTTCACTCTTGTTGCCCAGGCTGGAGTGCAGTGGCGAGATCACAGCTTACTGTAACCTCTGCCTCCTGCATTCAAGTGATTCTCCTGCCTCAGCCTCCTGAGTAGCTGAGAATCTTACAGGGGTGCATTACCACACCTGGCTGATTTTCGTATTTTTTTTTAAGTAGAGATAGGGTCTCACCATGTTGGCCAGGCTGGTCTCAAACTCCTGACCTCAGATGACCCACCCACCTCAGCCTCCCAAAGTGCTGGGACCACAGGCATGAGCCACCACGCCTGGTTCAAAGGGTTTTGTTTTTAAATGAGAGACGGTTAGTAAACTAAACTAATTGTTTTCCCAAGTGACATAGGGTATATACATAGAGATGAATATGATGAACCTTTTGGGTTATAAATGTCTTTTGTAACAAGGACCTATGAAGATTATATAAAGGTGAAGACACTGAGTAGCACTTGATAGATTCGTTGAATCAAGTCAGGTGAAATTATCACAGATTTTTTTTAAAGTCCCAGGAAGAAAAAATAAGCAAGTATATTGGGCATTGAACAAATTTTTAAAAAGATCTATGTCTATTCAGAGTATTCTATCCTCTTATTTTGTTGTTGCTCGCTCTTTCTTTCTTTCTTTCTTTCTTTCTTTCTTTCTTTCTTTCTTTCTTTCTTTCTTTCTTTCTTTTTTTTGAGACAGAGTCTTACTCTGTCACTCAGGCTGGAGTGCTGTGGTGTGATCTTGGCTCACTGCAACCTCTGCCTCCCAGGTTCAAGTGATTCTCCTGCTTCGGCCTCCTGGGTTACCAGGATCACAAGTGCGTACCAACATTCCCCGCTAATTTTTTTATTTTTTTAAGTAGAGATGGGGTTTTGCTATGTTGACCAGGCTGGTCTTGAACTCCTGACCGCAAGTGGTCTGCCCACGTCGGCCTCCCAAAGTACTAGGATTACAGGCGTGAGCCACCCAGCTGTTGTTTCTGTTTCTATATGAGACTAATAAAGGACAAAAAGAAGCATGGCAAGGGATGCATGAAAAAGGCTGGTTCTTCTAAAGGTTCCCAGACCATAGCTGGAGATAATACAGGATCATAGCTCCATCTGCTGGAGAGAAGCAAACCCACTCTTGCCCAGTCTATAAATGAAAGTGATCACTCCATAATCATAGCGAGCCAACCTGTGTTTGCTAAGCATTTGCTATGCACTGGTTAACACCTTGTCAGGCATAGGGTAGCAGTGGAAAAACATAAGCATGTTCCTTGTTCCCACCATGCTTAACCCTGAGAGGCCTTCTGCTATCAAGAAGAAGACTTATTTTAGCTGGTATGCTTTTGCATTCTAGGTTCCCCTCCTAGACTTTTCCTTGGGTGACTTTTAAAGCCATGTAACCTCATTCTGAGCTTCCTGTTCCTCATCAGAGGTAAGGAATAACAATGCCCCTCCTATGGGACTCAAGTTAGCTGAACTTTATTAAACGTCTAGTGTGTCTGATACGTAGAGGCCCCAGGGGCATAAAGATGAGTAGGAATCTAGACCCTGCCCTCCATGAGGTTAAAAAAAGGAGTTCATAAAAGGATCCTCACAGAATAAATGAGAAGTCATAACAGGATCTCTGAGGAGGAGTGCGGGATTCAGGCAGGAGAGTGGACTGGGAAGGTATGGGCAGGTTTTCTGAATTGTTTGAGGATGTGAGCATTAGTGAAGGGAATCCCTTCCCAGCCAAGGTCAGCATGAGCAGAGCATGGAGATGGGGGCCTGTGTGGTGTGTGTGTGTCCCTCTTAGGCTATGTAAAGTGAGTGGCAGGAAGTGTCCAGGGTTGAGGGTTTGGGGATGTAGATGGGGCCAGGCAGGGCCTGGCGCAGTAGCTCATGCTTGTAATCCCAGCTCTATGGGATGCCAAGGCAGGCGAATAATTTGCGGTCAGGAGTTTGAGACCAGCCTGGCAACATGGCGAAACCCCGTCTCTACTAAAAATACACAAATTAGCCAAGTGTAGTGGTGCACGCCTGTTGTCCCAGCTATTTAGGAAGTTGAGGCAGGAAAGTCACTTGAACCCAAGAAACGGAGGCTGCAGTGAGCCGAAATTGCTCCACTGCTGTCCACCCTGGGCAACAGAGCACAACTCTATCTCAGAAAAAAGATGGACCAGGTGATGTAGGGTTTTGTATGTTACCTTAAGGGGTGTTGACTATGTCCTGAGTGCAGTAGAGAATTAAGCAGAGTAATGATAGCAGGTTCCTTAGAGAGACCACTTGCTGGCTGTGCCTGTTGTATTTGATTGAAGGGGACCAGGCTGGAGACAGGGACTCCACTTAGGAGGCTATGGCAGCAAACCAAGTGAGTAACAATGAAAGCTGGACTGTAGTGGGTGAAAATAGGAATGAGGTGGGGCAGAGGGACAAGTTTGAGAGCTACCCAGGATCAAAGTTAGCAGCAGTGGGTGACTGAAGATAAGAAGCCAGAGACGACTAGGAGATTCTTAGCTTGTGTGCCTAGTTGGATAATGTTGCCATACCTGAGAGCAGACACATTAAGAAGAATTGGATTTAGGCATGATGGGAGGGGAGTTTATTTTAGGCCACATGAGTTTGAGTTGACTGTGAAAATGTCTATATGGAGACATCAGCAGACAATTCAATGTATGATTGTGAAGTTCAAGAAGGTCCAGCCGGTGCCCCTAAAAGGGAGGGAGTAGTTCAGCCATGAAGAATGTTGAAGTCATCAGGAACAATGTGCACAATGAGAGGAGCAGAGAGCCAAGGTCAGGCTGGAGAGTAGCCATACCTCCAGGCAGGCAGAGGCAGAGGCTCCTGCAAAGGAGACAGTGATGGGATGACGAGAGGGATAAAGGTATGATGGTCTGGAAGCCAAGGGAACAGAAAAATCTGGGGGTAAGCAACATTTAAAAATGTCAAATGTAAGATAAGGACTGAAAAATTTCTTCTGGATTTGGCTTTTAAGAGCTGACAGTGACTGTAAGAGGTGTTTCCAGGCTGAACACATTGGCTCATGCCTGTAATCTCAGCACTATGGGAGGCTGAGGCAGGCGGATCATGAGGCCAAGAGATAGAGACCATCCTGGCCAACATGGTGAAACCCCATCTCTACTAAAAATACAAAAATTATCTGGGTGTGATGGCATGTGCCTGTAGTCCTAGCTCCTTGGCAAGCTGAGACAAGAGAATCACTTGAATCCGGGAGTCAGAGGTTGTAGTGAGCCAAGATTTGCGCCACTGAACTCCAGCCTGGTGACAGAGCAAGACTCCGTTTCAAAAAATAAAAAATTTTCAGGTTGGGCACAGTGGCTCACGCCTATAATCCCAGCACTTTGGGAGGCCGAGGCAGGTGGATCACAGGGTCAGAAGTTCAAGACCAGCCTGGCCAAGATGATGAAACCCTGTCTCTACTAAAAATACAAAAATTAACCAGACATGGTGGCAGGCGCCTGTAATTTCAGCTACTCGGGAGGCTGAGGCAGGAGAATTGCTTGAACCTGGGCGGCAGAGGTTGCAGTGAGCCGAGATCGCACCACTGCACTCCAGCCTGGGCGATAGAGTGAGACTGTCTCAAAAGCAAAAAACAACAAGAGATGTTTCCAGATTGTAGTAAGTTGATGAGTAAATAAGAGTTGAGACAACTTTTAGAAAATGGTGTCTGAAAAGTGGGGAGAGGCATGATGGTAGCTGGAGAGTGACTCAAGATAGACTCATTTTAATGTAGCAGAAACTGGAGCCTGTTTACAAACTCTTTGTGGGAAAGGGCCCACAAAGAAGGAAAGTGGCTGTCTGGATGTGAGTTTATGGACTGACATTGAACAGACCTTGTTGGGACTGAAGGCCCAAAGAGTAAGCATATGGGTGGAGGTAGTTGAAAAAGAACCTTCCAGATGATCTGTTTTCTTCATGAAGAAGTAATATCTACCGAGAGAAGAAATTGATGAGGTCGATTATAGAAAGACTCTCAAGAATGGTAAGATAGTCCTTAGTGGGAGTGGTGCATGGCTTCAAGAAGAGGGTTGATGGGACCCATCCATGAGTAAAGAAGTTAACGGCAATGCCAGTCTGCCCAGGATGTTCTGCTGGGGCACAGAAAAACATCCAGTTTCCTTCCTTTAGATTTTAACTGCAGCATCATGAGCTGCCTTCCTAGAGGGAATTTTATATTTCGGAGCTGTAGCTCAGAAGACTTACATTCTCTTTTCCTCCTCCCAAGAGAGATCACGGCTGCTTCCCAGGGTTTATCTCCATGACATAGAACTGTCCCTGCTGGGAATGCGGGAGGGAACTGCTTCCCACTCGCAAGCAGCCTTTTCACTTCCAGCTTCCATCTGCCTTCCTCTCCCACCTCCCAAAATCAAGTAAATAAATCAAAGCCAGAAAAACATTCTGGCTGGAATTTTATTGCATTTAATATTGTATGAGAGCTTCCAAACCAGCTCTGATGGTTGAATTTCAGACTACATGAAGGTGAAGCCTGTGAGGTTCCTCCAGGAGTGCTGGGCAGAACCCTGAGTTTTAGAACTCCCTCCGCTTTTAGCTTGTCTTGTATGTGCTCTTTCACTCTTTCAAGCACTAAACCCTTCACTGTAAATAGTCACCCACCAAGGTGCCCTCGGGTTATAGCTTGTTACTAGCCCTAAAAGTGGCTAGTACCCAGTCTCAATGTTGGATAGCAAGCAAAGGTGATGAGTTGTTTTCTTGGGTTTTTTGAGGTTTTGTTGTATTTTGTTTGTGTGTCTGTTTTTTAGAGACAGGGTCTCCTATGTTGCCTAGTCAGGTCTCAAACTCCTGGCCTCAAGATCCTATCACTTTGTCCTCCCAAACCACTGAGATTGCAGGCGATTGTAAGCCACTGGGCCTGGCCATTTTCTTGTTTTTAAAGATTAACCTCAGTCAGGCCTTAATATCTAGAAATGCTATTATCATCCTACAAATGATTGCTCTATAACAAAGAAATTGGGTAAAGGAGCTTTCTTACTGTATTTTCAGTGAATCCAGGCAAGGACGCCTTCATTCATGAAACAGGAAGGCTGAATTAATTGCTCTCAAGTTTTTTTTTTTAGCTTCAACTAAAGATCCCCTTATTCTTCAGTGGAAACTTGGCGCTGAGGAGTCCCAGGAGGTGACTCAGTCAGCTATGTGTGGCCTCGGTGCTTTTTCTCTGCATTGTGTTTGTCAGGGGTATCTGGGACAGAAAGAATAGTTTCCGCTGCTCTGGCATCCAGAGCCTGGAGTGCCCGTCTCTAAGCTGGCCTGCGCCTTGCCACCAGAAGATGTAATATAAAGTAGCTGCTTGACCCCAAAGTAGCATTCAGAGGACACATAAAGAAGCTCCATTAATTCAAACATGTAGATATTGTAGAGATCCAGAGGGCCAGAGTCTGTCATTTGTTTAAAGTTACCTCTTTCTATGCTGATCATTATTCCTTTTTCTAAATATTTGTCTGCATGTTATATGTGCTTTGAATAAGTTTTTGGGTGAATTTCTTAAATTCATGAAGTATATAAAGTAACTTAACAGGATATGAGTTATGACATTTAGGGGTGTTGTCCTGTTGCTTCAGAACAGTGGGGTTATCATGTAACACACCATGTCACGTGATTTGACTAAATACAGGGAAAAAAAACCTCAACTTGGTTTCATTGGCTCAAATATAGTTCAAGACAATGGAGACAAAACTAAGATGAGGAAGTTCTATACAGTTTAGGAAATAGGAGCTTTCAGAGATAACTCACAGTGATGTGAAACTGGCCTCCCAAACCCTGATAAGTAAGTTAAATAAGAGTAGGGGCCAGGAGGAGGGTTCTTTACTCTTAAATTAAGAGAAGGGGATCTGGAGGTACCTCAGGTAGAGTGTTAGGTTTACAGACCTGGCCTGTGTATGTAAGGTGGAGGAGTGGAAGTTTGAGAAAAGTTTAAGAGAAGAAATGGATGTGATCGCCTAAATCAGCCAAATACAGGGTATTGTATTTCTGGAGTTGTTTTCCTTATGAGCTGTCTTTCTCAGTTACTTAAAAAGCAAATCTAAAGGATATTTGTTGAAACTCTATGCAGAAGGGGTCTTGGGTGAGTTGTAGCAACCTTTAGCCATGCTGATTAAAATTTTCTCCCTGCTGCAGAGGTTATGATTATGGTTCTTAAATCTTGTAGATGTGTACTTAATTACTGAAATATGTGAAAACTTTTTTGTTTTATTGGTTTCAAAGTAGGGTGGGTGTGGAAGAGAAACTATGCCTTTTGTTTGCAAGAAAAATTTTAAAACAATAATTGATAATCAGTATTTAGTGTCATATAGTTTATGTCCAGTTTATGCCCTGCAGAGCCTTCTACTATAAAAGACCTTAGTAATGCTTTTGGTATTTTATTACATTAAATTTTTTAAACATTATTTCTGCTGCCTAGTGTCTTTGCCGGGGGAAATGTAACAGTATGTTTAGTGAACTTTTGTCCTGCCATGGTAAGAAGAAAACAGCTATAAATAAGGAGTTACTCTTACTCATTAACGTGAACTCTGTTAAAAAAAAAAAACAAAAAACTGCTGGTCATTCTTTTTTTAAGTTTTATTTTTAATTGACACATTTATTTATGGTGTACAATGTGATGTCTGGGTTCGTATGTACAATGATCAAATCAGGGTAATTAGACTTTCAAGCACTTCAAATATTTACTACTTTTTTGTGATGACAACATTTAAAATCCTCTCGAGCTATTTTGAGATATACAATATAGTATTATTAACTATGATCACCTTGCTGTACAATAGATCACCAGAACTTACTCTTCTAGCTAACTAATTTTGTGCCTGTTGACCAACTCTTCGTTTCATTGATTCTATTGTTTTTCTAGTCTCTTTTTTTCATTTATTTCTGTTCTGATTTTTGTTATTTCCTTCCTTCTACTAACATTGGGCTTAGTTTCTTCTTTTTCTAGTTCCTTGAGGTGTAATGTTAGGCTGTTATTTGAGATCTTTTTTGATGTAAGTGTCTATTGCTGTAAACTTCCCTGTTAGTACTACTTTTGCTGCATCCCATAAATTTTGGTATGTTGTGTTTCCATTTTCATTTTTCATAAGATATTTTTATATTTCTCCTTTAATTTCTTCTTAATATCCCCTTAAATTTTTTCTTTGACTCGGTAGTTGTTTAGTAGCATATAGTTTAACTTCCACATATTTGTTAATTTTACATGTCCTCCTGTTATTATAGAATCTATTCTAGTTTCATACCATTGTGGTCAGAAAAGGCACCTGATATAGTATCAGTCTTCTTGACCTGTCCTGGAGAATGTTCCATGTGCACTTGAGAAGAATATGTATTCTGCTGCTGTTGGGTGGAATTTCCCCCAGCAGGCCATTCTTAAAGGAACTCTAATGCCTCAGACCTACATTTGGAAAACATTTATTAAGGAGTCATTATTTACCCACAAAATAATCTTACTTTACTACGTGACTTGCCTTACACAGTGGACTTCTTAGAGATTTAAATGTATTTGCCAAAGCATTAATTTTACAGTTAATCTTCAAGAACATGATAACATTAAAAGAGATACCGATTGCATGTGTAAGGGAATTCTCTTATATAGATGTATGTCCTGTGTAAGTACGTGTGTATATGTATACATTCACACACATAATCAGGAAATAAGGAATAGTTATAATGAACAGGAGAACAGAAGCGTTTTTACGGATAGGAAAGAAAACGTTAAAAAGAGGATGATCGTTTTAATTTGGTCTTTCAGTTGATAAAAAGGGTACATAACTTTAGTTTCCAAACAACAAGGCACTGTGCACAGCTGATAGAATGAAATATTCTGAATGAAAATACTTGGTGGTGTTTTAAAAATATATCAAAAATAACTAAACATCAGGCCATCACAAGTAGTGTCAAGTTTTTGAGGCTAACCAAAAAGAGGGGGGATCCCTGTGTAATTCTAAGAGATGGCACCATGGAGGTAATGACTTTAGAGTTGAGCTTTGAAGAATTTGACAATTGATGGAAAAGAGTCTTGTTTTAGGCAGAGTTGGCAACAGCTTGAGCAAAGGTTTGTAGGTCAATGTTACTTCTCTGTTCAGAAGCCTCCATTACCTTTGCATCTGTCTGGATCTATGCCCTGCCCTATTCCTTTCTATGCTGTGTTTTCCCCATTAGCCTGGAAGATTTGTTAAAGCAGGGGCTTTGTTTTACTTGTTCACCTCTGTATTCCAAGTGCCCAGAGCTGTAAATGCTCAATAAACAAGTGTTGATTCAATGAAATTCAAAAATGATCTGTACTGGAATGTTTGAAGGATAAGAATGGCTGGGAGGAAGGGTGTATGTGGAGTATTGGTCTTGAATGCAGTGTTAAGTTTGGGGACATTAGGGCAGCAACTATGATGTTGCCATGAAGTGATTTGCTAATATTACAGTGTAGAGAATGGATTAGAAGGACTAAAAAGCAAGATAGTAATACCATACAAAAGGGTGTGTCAGTGGGTCCTTCATTCAGTTGACATTTGAGTGTTTGCCCATGCTAAGCACTGTGTTAGGTTCTGGGGACACAAAGATGACTGAGAAGTGGTTTCTGTTGGTAATTCCAGATGTATGAACATCCTGTAGCAAAGGACTGAGCAAATGATGTGGTGGGGCCTGAACCTGGGCCTTATCAGAGGGGTGGGAAGGAGTATGAAGTCTCATTGATAGTTTCTTGATGTCAGCAGTTCTGAGAGTTCTGAGAGAAAAGAGGAAGCCTTCAATGAAACGTAAAAAAAAAAAAATTGATTGATTAATTGATTGACAAGATCTTGCTCTTGTCACTCAGGCTGGAGTGCAGTGGCGTGATCATGGCTTAGTGCAGCCTTGACCTCCTGGGCTCAAGCGATTCTCTTGTCCCAGCCTCCCAAACACCTGGGACTACAGGCACACACCACCATGCCTGGCTAATTTTTAAAATTTTTGTAAAAACACAGTCTCACTATGTTGCCCAGGCTTGTCTTGGCCTCAAGAGATCCTCCTGCCTCAGCTTCCCAAAGTGCTGAGATTACAGGCTTAAGCCACCATGCTTGGCTCTTTAAGGGAAATTTTTTTAATGTTTTAGGTTTTTTTTGTTTTTGTTTTTATTTTGTTTTTTGAGATGGAGTCTTGCTTTGTCAGCCACGCTGAAGTGCAGTGGCGCAATCTTGGTTCACTGCATCACTACAACCTCCGCCTCACGGGTTCAGGCCATTCTCCTGCCTCAGCCTCCCGAGTAGCTGGGATTACAGGCACGTACCCCCATGCCCAGTTAATTTTTGTATTTTTAATAGAGGCAGGGTTTCACCATGTTGGCTAGGCTGGTCTCGAACTCCTGACCTCAGATGATCCACTTGCCTCAGCCTCAGGAGATCCACCCGCCTCCCAAAGTGCTGGGATTACAGTCGTGAGCCACCATGCCCAGCCTAGTTTTATTTTTTTTAATGCAAAGACTTACGGTGATTTTAAATTGGGTCTTGTCCAAAAGTTAGCAATATGTTGATTGACCCCTTAGTCTCAGTAGAAAGAGGTATACAGGAGCAGTGTTTTAGCTCTGAGTCAGTGTGTCACTTTTGAAACACAGTTTGTCAGAATAGTTACAAAATGAAACGTTGATGTCCTCTAGAGTGCTTGATTAAATTTAGTGAAGTGGCATGTGGGGAGGTGTTTTATACCCTGAATGTAGCCACAAATGTATGGTAATATTGTTGGGAGAAAAGGATACTTTATCAGCCCAGATGATAGTTTGGGTTAGGACATATAGAATATGAAAAATTAAAAAATTAACTTACCAATTTTGTGGAAGCACGGTGGGGAGAAGAGGCAGAGATTTCCTTAGCAGTATATTTATAGGGTTTAAAATGTACTATGCTAAAAGAAAGTTTGTTTGCAGCCTGGGAGCACATTTAGACTACCTAGTTCTTTGGGTTCAGCTGTTTATAATCTTTCTTGTCATTTATTTAACAGTTTCAGACCACAAGGAGCGTATACTTTTCTCACTTGTTCTTTATTCATGAGCCTGTTTATCCTTGAAATACTGTGGTATAGTTGAAAGACCATGTTTAAATTTTACTTCTGCCATTTGTGTGATTTTGAACCTATTATTTAATATCTGAGTTGCAGATTCCTTATCTGTAAATGGCAATAGTATTTAATCTGTAAGTAGTGAGGACTAATTGAGATAGTGTATACAAAAGGATCCTAGCTTGATATTTGGTGGGACCTAGATGGCCAACAAATGTTCCTCTTTGTATTGTATTAATAGTAAAATATATATAACATTCACCTGTGAAGGACACTTGGGTTGTTTCCATACCTTGACTATTGTGAATAATGCTGCTGTGAACATGGGTATACATATATCTGTTTGCATCCTTGTTTTCAATTCTTTCGGATATATACCCAGAATTGGAATTGCTGGGTCCATGTGGTAATTCTGTTTAACTTTCTGAGGAACTGCGAATTATTCTCGGCCTTTGTTTTTTAGTTTACTCTGCATCATTTATGCATTATCTCCTTTAAGATCCAGAACTACTAGAGTTCAGGGTTGAAAACAACCAAATTCACTTTAGTGTCTGGTAGTCTCATGGTTTTTCTACACTTCCAAACATTTGCAAACCTCATCCAAGCCTCCCACAGTCTGACTGCTGCTGTGAAGAAAGCCATTCTTCTTTCTTTTGCTTTTTTCCTCCTTAAATCTTCTCCCCTTCTACTGCCTTTTCTTTCCCTCACTAATTCTTTCCTTCTCACCCCTTGCCTTCTAAAAAGGAATGCTGGGGAAAACGTCTTGCAGGAGTTTCTCCTTCTTCCCCACTCTCAAGCCTACCCAGACCTGCAGTTGCTGTCTTTGTGAAAAGGGACATAGAGGCAGAATGACATCCAGATGCTAGATTACATCAATTTACAATAAATTTTAATTTAAGTCAGATTTTCAGAACAATTAGCACCTGTATAATACTAAAAAGTGCCAAGTAT